AGCCTTTCATTTAGATTGAGCTGCAACTGATTCTTCTTCTGTTTGTATAGACAAAAGACAAGTCTTCATACATTATCATAAAAGTTATACCTCCAATCGGATTCTTCTTCTTTTTGGCATCTCATATCAGTCTTATTATAATTAGAAACTTTTCCAATAACAGTTGTACCTCCTACCTTTGGTAGGTGAGATAATTTAACAAGAACTTATTGGTTGAGGTTGATGGGGACCCGAACGGGATCTTTCACCTGTATATCCTACATTCATGTCTTTATTCACACTAGCCCAAGTTGTTGATCTGCTAAGTTTACTTCAATACCAAACAACTAACCTTTCATCTTATGGATTAATTTCAGATACAATCCATCTACAAACAACTGAGTATTAGGTTATGAAAGTTAATTTGATATGCTAATGGATATCATTCAATGCAATTCATATACATGCTTGTACTTTATTTTGTGCCTTGCTGAATTATGTACTAATTCATTTCTCTGTATTAGTTGTAAAGAAAGATTGGGAACTAGTTTCAGCTGCTCATATATTGATGCTAATCAATTTTTATTGGTTACCGGTGGTGGTGCTCTTTGGAATGTATCAAGTGATTTGGAAATGGAGCTTCAATCTACCTACAAAACTTTGTTCTTCCCGATGGAGGTGGATGTAAAAGCAATATCATACTTTCAGATGTAGCATTTATTTTGATCTCTCTTAATGGCGAATAAAGATCATGTTCGATGTTTTTTGGACAGTCATATCATATCTACTAGGGATGATTTGTTGAATTTATTTTGCTAAATTCATATGTATAGTAATTACTGTAAATACCAAAAAAATTATCATAAGGACAATTATGGTGTTGGTTAAATATTTTTGGACGATGGAGTTATTACTCACTTGCAGTGTTTTCGACAATGACGTGATTGTTAATTCCACATTAGACTACAATTCAATATTGGCTTGATGGGCTAAAATGCTCAACTTGATATATATTTATGTAGATGGATGTGAAGTATTGAATGGAAAAAGTAAAACATAAGACCATGCTCACCACCTCCTAAATGAACATTTATCAAATAAGGAGGTTATGTAGGTGGATGTGATGGTTTGATGGGCTAAAATGCCCAACTTCATTCATGTAATAGTCATACATGCCTTAACAACCACCTTAGTAAAGATTTACCAAGATGGAATTCGAGGTGTTGGTTAAGTTTATCTGAGAGAACATATCATCCGCAATTGAAACATCTGTTTCGTATGAATTAACTAATAACAAATGGTGAAATAGTGTCTATTATTATGTGTTTTCCCTTTYCTTAATGGCCATTTTCCAAGGACCCCATATTATTGAAATTTACCAGGTTGGCTCATATGACCACAAGTTGCCAAATAACCATCTAGCAACAGATGTTGATCATTGCATCAACTACCCCCATCTCCCAGCGGCCACGAAGAAGAGTAACTAAATAATTTTGTTGGTAGTGCCCCATCCTGGTTATCCTAATCCCGTTCAATGAAAAGAAAGCTTTGCTAGATGTTGGGGAGGAAGTAGTTGAATTCACCATAGTGGAAACAAAGRAAGGCATTATGGTGAACGAAAACTGGCTCTTAGGGTGCAACCATTTGATTATATTCCACTTTACTGACCTCTACYGCAATAAGCAAGAAAGGTAAGCAAAAAACAAGTTTATATAGTTGAACTACAACTTTGATTTAAAAAAAAATAGAATTTGACATAAAAATTGTGGTCTAATTTTGGTGTTCTACAACGTATATGTTTTTTCTTTCACTTGTTTTTGAAATTGACACATTGGCAAAAAATGAAACACTAGTTCTTAAACCTTGTCTTTATTTGGAAAAGCAAGAACAAGTTGGTTTTGTTCCAAAAACAATTCATGTTTTTGAAATCATCAAAATACTGGTTTTTAGATAAAAACGACTATTGGAATACATAATTGTATAATTTATAAGATATACTTTTTAAATCTCTTGATTTTTTAAGGAAAAAAGATCATTCTATTAGCTTATGAACGTGATGTACATGAAGAATCATATTCATT